TAAACCAAGACCTGGATATATTTGAACCTTCAAAGCTCTATCAACACTATCCTAAGATAGCAACACACAGTGCCTGATGGGGAAAAAAAACACACCCCAACTCTTACCTTAGGCAGCAGCTTGGAGAGTATGAACACAAGAATGAGCATTGATGCCACCATACCCACACTTACTCCTGAACTGTAATAAAAGATCTGACTTCTGTAAGAGAAGAGACACCAAAGAGATTAATCAAAGTGCAAGATTTCCCTGAATGTATATGTTGAATGCTTTTAAGTTATATTTAAAAGTTTTATTTATTAAAGTGACAAACTCAGTCAAAGTGACACTAAACTCAGGCGTTAAATCTTAAAAATGCATTCAAGTATCTTATTAACAAATGTATCTTATTTGTGTATCACTCGGCTGTAGATCCTCAAATCATCTGAATTGGTGCCGACACTGTCCTTCCTTCTAAAGAGTGGTTACTTTTGCTCCCCATGGTCCCTGTGTGCTGTAAAATCGTCACTGCTCCAAGTTCTCCCTCCCGTGATGGACTACAATCTCAATACAAATTAGAAAACTAAACGTGAGATTGAAGTCCAGCACGGGCTAAATAAAAAGGAGGACCTGTCATGTAAATTGGCTATTATAAAAAGGGGCTTCTTAGCCCCCGATGTAATAGCAATAAAGTTGTGTGAAAAAAAAAAAAAAAAAAATTAAAGGAATCAAACATTTTTTAAAAAGGAAACAATTTTTTTTAAAGTCCCCGCCCACCACATACACACTCAGATATGAGTCGGGTGCGCCTACGTGCGAAAACGCAGATTGCGCCGCACATTGTACATATCGCCGCAAATGTCGGAGTGAGAGCAATAATTTTCGGGCCATCAATCACCGATAACACTAAACTGATGAGCAGTAAAAGCGCTTTAAGCGTCGCCTATGGGCGTTTTTTTGCGATTTTGCGGGAGCACGCAATTTTAAGGCTTGACATTGAGGTGATAGATAGATAGATATATATATATATATATATCAAACTTGCATAACCTACCTGCTAAGTGTATCGCCATAGAAAAACAATAGAATACCAAGTAGGAAAACCAGGAAAAGCTTGGGGTCAAACCCTGAAAAAAAAAGAATATAGAATCATATAAATAAGAAATGTTAATTTGATAACTATAGATTCACTTCCCTGCTAGAAGAGAATTGTTTTACACACACACACACACACCTTTAAATAGAATTTACCTCTTGAAAGCACTACACTATAACGAGTGCCTGCCTCATTTACGTGCACCTTAATACAGGTTTTGCTGCTGTGGAGATCCACATTAATGTAAGTGTCATTCAATTTTTCCTTCAAGAAAGAGAACAGGTTGAAGACAGTGAAGGTCTCCATTTCCATTAGCTGCTCCTCACTATCAACCTGTGTCAGCCGAATCATTTTGGTGCTGTTTACCCGTATCTGTAGTGAAGATATAAAGAAAATATAAAATCAAGCTAAAAAAAACCCTCAGAAAACAGTGACATATATCCACCATCATTCTACTGAGCAATCTTCATTTGTTGTGGCATTACTAGCTTAACCCAAGAAAAGTACACATGTCCAACTGGGTCCCAAGTCACTTGTACACACACATAGCAGCCACCATTCTTTCCAATGGATGGTCTGAATATCCCTTGGCAGCGTAGGATCATTATGAAGGGGGAAAAAATGCAGTGTTGCACAAGGTTGCAGAGCTAAGATCTCTGTGGAGGGGAAACAGGTATATGCACTGAATAAACACAGAAAAAGGGGAAATTGGGCCTCCTTAGGGTACGTACATTTTAAGATAACTGACTTCTTAAAGCAGACCATGTGTAAAATGCAAAAGGTAGAGTAAAAAAAAAAGTTAGACTCATACTTACCTACGCACTATTTTCTAAATCGCTGGGTGTGATGTCATCATCAATCCAGGAATATTCTTGGAGAATGCAGAACATCTCATGAGAAGACACATTGCAAGAGCGCCTTCTTGTGGGATTTTGGCTGCAGGGGGCAAGCAGCGAATCGTGAAGCCTGAACACGTCTGTGACCAGGGTGGAACTTCCCTGTTCATGACCATTAGTCATTTTAATGCTGATTGCAGAGGAGCAAGGAGCTGTGTGGGAGCACTGGTAAGGTCAGAGGGAAGCCCGCTGCAGAGACACTTTGCCCTGCATTTGTCTCTTTTAGTGGAATGGGGAAGGTACAGAACTGATCAGTTTTTTTTTTAGTTTTTTTTCAATTTGCAGTCTGTGTGCCCCTCTCCCCAACGACAAGATTTCCCACTTCCTGGCCCAGTAACATGTGAGTTTGGAACAAAGTATGAAGGAAATCTGTCTAAAGGGAACCACAGCCAGCAATAAAAGCCTGATAGTCACTGCAACCATTCCACCACTTTACCAAAAGCTTTAGTTGAACTTATACTTTTATTAAGATACCTGTAGCATCTCAGGAGGCTATGGCCATGCCCCTGCCTGTAAGAATAGTTCAAAACCGAACATTTCTACTGGGAAGCCACCACAGCTGCATTGAAACTACATCACGCCTTTGTCTCCGGGAGTCATGCCTGCGGCTGTCAGTCTTACAATGCCTCATGGGAAATGTAGTTCCACAAGAGCTGGAGTACTGAGATTGCTCACATCTTGCCCACATCAAGGGGAGCTGGGGGGGGGTGGGGAGGGAGAATAGTACTCAAATATCTGAATGGACCATCTTAGGTTTCATACCATGTCCCAGTCTATGTCAGACTGCATTATGTATATCTAAAATCAATACCAAGCATCATCTGCATTTACATATTACAGAGCTTACCTGCACTTTAGTCCAAATATCATGCCATTTTGGTTCGTAAGGTTTCTGGTAGCAGAAATTCGACGAGTCGCCATAAATGTCAGATTTGCCCTCCACAAGTTTTACAACAGCTACTTGGTTTCCTGAATAAAAATAGAGCAAATAGTTGATGTGAAATACCAGCAAGCATCACCCTTGCAAAGTCAACATATCTAAAATGCAAATCTAATTTAAGTGAAAACATGTGCAGGGATATTATAAAGTTCTCTCACAAAGCAGTGCACCTCACTGAGATCTGATTCTTTGCACTGCAGAGTGGCGGTATGAGTGACGTCCAATGAAGCGACGGCTTTCTAAGCACTATAACCACATTTGTATCATGCGATTAACGTAACGCTATATAAATGCCTGTAATAAATACATTTCTGACAAGAGCTACAAGCATTTTCTGTATCTGCTTAGGGGTCAGGTCAATAAGCGTTCTTGTCAAGCATTGAGCTTTACAATTGACCACATGCAGCTGTGTTTGAATTACAAACTCAGCATTCGACAAGAAAAGGCTGCATTTGACCCACTTTGCCTACAGTTCAAACATACCTTAAGCCCTCATTCACACGAGAAAAAGCCGGCACGTACAGCTCCGTGCACGGCCGTATCGGGCAGCTCCTGGGAAGGACAGGTGCTGCGTGTGATTAGTACGCAGCCTCTGTCCTTCATTATGGGACTAGGCGGCCGTACGTCGCCCTACACTCTCCCCAACTGCAGGTCCGTGCTTGTGAAGTGTCCGTACTCGTACGCTGGCAGGATGGATTCTGTCTGCGTACGAGCCGACACGCGCGCACGGACCCGCACTTGGGTGAGCGTATGGCGGCCTACTCCCATAGAGGACAGGGGCTGCGTACTAAATCACACCTGTCCTTCTTGGGAGCTGCCTGATGCGGCCGTGCACGCAGCATGGCGCTGTACATGCCAGCTTTTTCTTGTGTGAATGAGGCCTTATAGGTTATGCTGCATCCAAAACTGCATTGCAAAGCAGGTCAAATGCAGCCCCTGACCTGCCATGTGCTAAACTGCATTTCATGTGCATTCCAAAACACACATCAAAGGCAGGAAAACAAAGCCTGACGACATGAGACTCAGAAAGATTGGTAGGCTGAGATATAATACATTTTTGTCTTTGAATTTAGATACACTCTTAAGGCCCCATTCACACTGAGCGATTTTTGCAGCGATATCGCTCATATTTCCACGCGATATCGCTCTATGTAGCGTCTCCAATCCATTTCAATGGAGCTGTTCACATCTCGCCTCTCAATATCGCTTGTAGCTCATCGCTGTAGCTTGTCGCTCCTACATGACCCTTTTTTCGAGCGATATCGCTTCTGATTGCATATAGCCCATTAGGAAAAAGTCACGCGACAGGTCGGTCAATATCGCTCGTCGCGCAATATCGCTCAAAATCGCACGATTTTCATGTCGCTCAGTGTGAATGGGGCCTTAAAGGGGAACTTTGGGCAAAAACAAACGTCTTAATTGTTCTTCTACGATACTTTGTTGTTCACTGTAACACTGCCTCCTGCATTGTGTCATGTGGACATCCAAGGAAGAAGCTGGGGGCTGATCGCAAGATCATCCTCGCCTAGGCAAGGAATCAGGAAGCGGCAGGCCGCATCTCTATTGCCTCATTCACACAGACATGCGCAGCAATACAGTGTGCACGTCTGTGCAGAAACCTGCACCCAGTAGGAACAACTAGTGTGTACAGACGCCTGTACAACTCAATGACAGGATGCAACTCAACACAGGTAAACATTGACTTGAACATGCACTGTCTGTACCCCTATGAATGCACGCACCTGGACACAGACTGTCTGTACCTGTACAAGTTCAAGTTGGCCATTATCAGCATGCAGCCGCATCCTGACAGCGAGCTGTACGGAAACGAATAGCTGTCAGGTTTCTGCATGGAGGTGCACGCTGAACATCTCTGTACATACGTGTGAACGAGGCTTATACAAGGAGAAAAATCTAAAAAGTATTTACTTTCCCTAAGATATACAAACTATCTGTGACTGAGTAGGAGGATGTAGATGAGAGGACATTCGGTTAATGGGTGAAGGTCTGCTTTAACTCACAATACACACAAAGCTCAAGCAGCTTGATCAGCACAGTACAGAGACCTGTGACATGTAAGGACTTCCCACGATTTAGAAGGAAATACCAAATAAATATTTAACCTGGCATCAGACATTTCTGATATAAAACCATTGTGAGCCTCAGGTGATCTAGGGCAGGGAAAATACCATGAAACTATTGTAGTCACAATGCTGATCCCCACCATATCTACATCACGCTGACCCTACCTGGTACATGCATCACATAGACCTTCCCCAGTACACAGATCATGCTGACCCCCACCCAGTACATGTGTCACATAGACCTTTCCCAATACATGCATCATACAGACCTCCACCAGTGCATGTGTCACATAGACCTTTCCCAATACACAGATCATGCTGACCCCACCCAGTACATGTGTCACATAGACCTTTCCCAATACATGCATCATACAGACCTCCACCAGTGCATGTGTCACATAGACCTTTCCCAATACACAGATCATGCTGACCCCACCCAGTACATGTGTCACATAGACCTTTCCTAGTACATGCATAATGCAGCTCTCCCACAGTACATGCATCACTCTGATCCCACCCACTACGTGTGTCACATAGACCTTTCCCAGTGCATGCTTAATGCATGATACTGATCCCACCCACTACATGTGTCACATAGACCTTTCCCAGGACATTCTCAATGTATGACGTTGATCCCACCCACGTCACATAGACCTTTCCCAGTATATGCTTAATGCATGAAGCTGATCCCACCCACTACATGTGTCATGCTGATCTTGTCCCGCCATAACTGCCGACTTGAACGTATCACCTAACCGAGGCGTGGAACGCAAGCCGGCTCCACAGTACAGAGACCTGCCAGACAAGACACTAGACTCGCATAGCTTCCGGGTGACGTCACTATCACGTGGTAGCAGCAAGGGACTGCGCTCTACAAGGCTCGACGTGAACAGGAGAGAAAGGGTGGGAAGAGGTGGGCTTTGTGGGCAGGGCGATTAGGAAAGGACGGACTATTTAGGGTGGGCGGGATGACAATGAGAAAACGGAATATGTTAGGATTGTGGGAGGTGGAGGGGGGCCAATGAGAAGACGGGATAAATCATGATGGGAGGAGCGTGGTTGTTCTGGCGGGATGGCAATGAACGGACGGGATATGTTAGGATAGTGTGAGGTGAAGGGGGGCCAATGAGAAGACGGGATATATCATGGTGGGCGGAGCGTGGCTCTGTGGGAGAGTGACAATGAGAAGACGGTGTTCTAGACCCATCATGGCGGGGTAATTGGGTTGTGTGGGCGGGGTGACAGTGAGAGAATGTGCTATGTTCGGGTGGGAGGAGCTATGTTATGTGGGCGGAGTGTCAGTGTAATGTGGTGTGTTAGACCCTATTCACACTGAGCTACAATAAAATAAGCATATTTAAGCAGAGTGACATTGCGCTACACTATATTACAAAAAGTATTGGGACACCCCTCCAAATAATTGGATTCAGGTGTTCCGTGACATTTCCTTTGTACTAAATATTTCACGGTCAACTGTTAGTGGATTATAACAAAGTGGAAGCAACTGGGAACAACAGCAACTCAGTCACGAAGTGGTAGGCCACGTAAAGTGACAGAGTGGGGTCAGCGCATGCTGAAGTGCGCAGAAGTTACCAACTGTCTGCAGCGTCAATAGCTACAGCCCTCCAAACTTTGTGTGGCCTTCAGATTGGCACAACAACAGTGCGTAGAGAGCTTCATGGAATGGGTTTCCATGGTCGAGCAGCTGCATCCATAAAGCACACCACCACCAGACTCTAGAGAAGTGGAGACATGTTCTCTGGAGTAATGACTCACGCTTCTCTGTCTGGCAATCCGATGGACGTGTCTGGGTTTGGCGATTGCCAGGAGAACGGTACTTGCCTGACTGCATTGTGCCAAGTGTAAAGTTTGGTGGAGGGGGGATTATGATGTGGGGTTGTTTTTCAGGGGTTGGGCTTGGCCCCTTAGTTCCAGTGAAGGGAACTCTTATGTCATCAGAATACCAAGACATTGTGGACAATTTCATGCTCCCAACTTTGTGGGAACAGTTAGGGGATGGCCCCTTCCTGTTCCAACATGACTGCGAACCAGTGCGCAAAGCAAGGTCCATAAAGACATGGATGGGGGAGTTTGGGGTGGAGGAACTTGACTGGCCTGCTCAGAGTCCTGACCTCAACCCGATAGAACACCTTTGGGATGAATTAGAGTGGAGACTGAGAGCCCGGCCTTCTCGTCCAACATCAGTACCTGACCTCACAAATGGTCCAACATTCCCATAGACACAGTCCTAAACCTTGTGGACGCATTCCCAGAAGAGTTGAAGCTGTTATAGCGGCAAAGGGTGGGCCAACTCAATATTGAACCCTATGGACTAAGACTGGAATGCCATCACATTTCATGTGCATGTAAAGGCAGGCGTCCCAATACTTTTGGTAATATAGTGTATATCAAGCTTCTATGAGCTACAGTGCACATTTTGACGCGCTATGTAGCGCTTCTTTTGGCATTTTACCACAGAGACTTTGTAGCTGCTACATTGGGCAGTATCCAATCAAAAGCACTCTTTGATGTGACAATTCCTTTCCCTGCTTCTGTGGAGAGTGTTCCTAGATGTAATTTCTGGCCAAAAGTGACACTTGTGTAGCGCAAAATCACAGCTAATGAGCGACATTGAGCTACACCATTGAAGTCTATCGGGGCCAAGAAGCACATAATCTGCCAAAAAGTAGCTCATGTTTGAGCAACAGGCAACATTGAGCTTCAAGATGTGAACATTTCCATTAAAAAATGCATTGGAAGAGCTACATTGAGCTTCATATTTGAGTGATTTTTGAGCAGAAAACGCTCAGTGTCAGTGGCGGAACTACCGCCGGTGCAGGCGGTGCGGACGCACCAGGGCCTCTGGGGGGCCCAGCGCCGGATCGGTAACCAGCGG